GTCCTTGAATCGTCAATCCAATTTTAGTACAAACATACAGTGATTTGCAATTTATTATTTTTTTTTTTTTTTGGCATATTGAAATTTATTTAAAGTAGCAAACAGACACAAGCACAGGGGTAGTAGTACTTAAACATTTTATCATAAAGTGCAAAAACTTAGGATATTTCATTTATGGTGTTAGTTCATGGTTATACAGGGATGAGAATATTATAGGTCCTAATAAAATGCTAGATGAGAGCACTTAACTTGCAAGTAAATTGTGTGCAAATTGATGCACTTTTTTTTTCAGGCTTTTCGAGACCTGTATTCCAATGAGCGCTTGCTAAATGCTATAGAACAACTGATTGGTCCAGATATTATGGGTCATCCAGTCTGGAATTTGCGTACAAAGACTCCAAGAAATGAGGCAACAACTGTTCCTTGGCATCAAGGTAAAGTGACATTGTTCTTTTCTTGGCACTCAATATCACAATAAATGTCATGATTTTCAAATTCCACACAAAATTATAAGCAAACTAACTGTTATACCTATGTTGTCACTGTGTTTTGTTTTTGTCTTTTTTTCACCTGTAGACATTTCCTATCTTGACAATTCATCCTACGACGTCCTGCAACCAGCAGCCTGGATACCCTTGCTGGACTCGAATGAGAATAATGGATGTATGCAGGTAAATAAGATATTTTCAACATCCTGGTACTTTTTTTCTTCTGTTTAGCCTTAAAATTTGTTCCATCTGGTGTTATTTGCCAATATTGCCCCTTCCTAAATGAGCATTTGTCGTGATAATAAATTAATAGATTTTTTGAAAAAGTAAAATCATTAACATGGACAGCCACCATTACTAGCACCATATGCAATATTAATATAGTAACATGTAAACGTATTATTTCAGTTTGTAAGAAAAGGTCACCAGTCAGGCAGAGTGTGTGAACACGAGTGCTGTGCAGGAGATACCTGGTACACTATGCTGAGAGAAGAGGAAATGGAAAAAACTCTGGGTTAGTATTGGGAGGTGTAAACATATAACTCAGCAATAAGGTTTATTGTAATATAACATGTATAAAACATTGCTCTCTCTGTTGAATTTAACAAGTACTGCACTTTGTTTTGAAAATTGTGGCAGTACAATGGCTAGGGTGGTAGTATGACATTTGGATGGATGAACAGCAGGCTAGGCATGGAGGAGTGTTAGATAATAACAGCAAGTGCTGTAAATTTAATTAAGTTATAGGTGTGTCATTTTTCAAATGATGAATGAAAGATCAGGCAGATTTGTATTGGTTCTTGTCACTTTCATCAGATTACCAAACAAGGCAGCAAAGCTGTCAAATGTACAGACAAAAAACAGAAAATAAAGATATAAAAAAAGGTCATTTTGACAATTTTGATGCAATAATAAATAATGCTTATAATAGCACTGTCAGTCAACACTGAATTTTAATCATGCACAACAGGTAACATGGTCAATAACAGGAGCGGACCCTGAGATATTTTCTGACAGTATTCCAAAGTATCTATGTTGATCCATCCTCCATTTTGATGGTCTTCCAACAGAAAAAAATAGATACCAGTCAATATAAACTTAATAACCTGTCTTCCAGAAGACCCAGAAGATGGTCTCAATCCACCCCTTCAATAAGATTACAGTTTCAGGACCATGAGAGACCAAAGTCACATGATGAAAGTCTTAATTTTTGAAAAATGATGACAGTGCATAAAATAATATTATATAATGTTTAAAGACATAAAAAACAATACAATTGCTTATTTGGAAATACAGAAAATGTGCAGAGCCTCGAGCGGATGAGAGTTAAAAGTCACAAATGCAAGTGTTTGAGAAAAATTGTAAAGGAAAACATAACAAAACTAGACTAGACAGCACTGTGCTGAAATGGGTTTATTTCCATTTTTAACACTTTTTTAATATAAGATGAAATAAACAGTTTACTGCCATTTTTATATGATCA